TGAAAATACAATTTTTACAGTTTTTAATTTTTAAAACCGGCCCTTTTCCACAGAAATACACAAAAGAACTGTTGCCTTCAACATTGAGTAAAAGCTCCATAGGGTGGATGGCTTATTTTTTTTGCATTTTTCATATTTATGTATTATATGCCAGGCCAGGAGAGTTACTTCTACAAAGTACTGCTGCTCGTTTACACTATGTTGGGCACATCAGGAAATAAAGTCCTCATATGTATTTTCATAGAGTCTTTTGGACTTTGAAGGTATACATGATTCTTGGCCTTTTTTTTCAACTGCCTCAAGAATAAACTTGGGCATGCTATTTTGCTCCATTTTCAGACGCACTACCATCATAAGAATACCATACACGTACACTACACAGCACATAATTATTTGTTTGTATTGTTCTGGGTTGCTATAATAGTTACGTGATACTTTTGTCAACAACTGCTTCCTTGATCTAAATTTGACAAAAACTTAGGACCTATTGCGGTAAAGATGAAAATTTAGATTTTGAAATATTTTTGATTGATGTCATTACAAAATTGAAAATATATAATTTTTTAAATATCAAAATGAAAACATGCTCATCGTGCATAAAATCTTGTATGCACCTCAGTCAAAAAGAGCTTTAGCGCCCTCAGCGTGTAAACAGCCCTCGGCTAACGCCTCAGGCTGTTACACACGCTGCGGGCGTTAAAGCTGTACTTTTTGACCTAGGTGCATAAATAACTATTGAAGGAGATCGGCAGGCAGGTTAAGAATGGAAAGGATTACAAATCAGAATTAGGGAATTTATGGACGTAAGACACAATAGTAGATAATATAAACAAACTCTACATATAAAGGACAAACAACTGATTTGGTTCGGACATGTAGAGAAAATGGCAGATCCCAGAATACCCACGCAAATTATAAACTTTACCTTCGGGATTAAAATTACTATTTCGGTCCCGCGGTATATAGTATATATACTATTTATTATCCGAAGTCAATTAATTTTTATATTTATTTCCCACTGATCTAAAAAATAAATGGATAAACAATCATACGGCTTGATTGGCAAAATTTGGGGTCAATATTCTACGAACAGTTGTGCAACAGAGCAGCCTAACGCGTGCGCAGTGTCTTATCCAGGGATGGGCATCTACGCGTAAACAAAGATTGTCTACGTCTGGTGTAAACAACGCGTAGACAATGTAAACTATGTAATCTATGTAGACAACGTGTAAAATATGTAGACAACGCGTAAAGTATACAATTTTTGACAGTTGGCAGGCCTTTAAGGTTATGTTTCTGTTTTTGCTTTGTTTTGTTTTTTGCTTTGTAAAGTTAATTAAACTGCAGATAATGTCTAATTTGATACAATATAAATTTATTTCAATGCAAACTTTCAAAAAAATTACACAAATTTCAAATTTTCTGTTGTCTACAGTGTCTACATAGTTTACATAGTCTACATGGAAAAAAGTGGATGTAAACAATACGTAGACAACGAGTAGACAAACCGCGTAAAGTAGATTTCATAGTCTAGGGCACATCCCTGGTCTTATCTTTCGAACAACTGTTCTAAATTTTGAATTATTTTCATTGGCCAGATTTTGTGCACGCACAGTACGTGTATCTACTGCGCACGCTCACTGCTGTCCCAGTCAGTTGTTTTTGTTTAGATTATGACCTCGTAAATTAGCAGCATTAGAAGCGTTCTTTTTTATCCATTTATTTTTGAGATCAGTGGTATTTCCGGATAACTCAAATGATCTCTATTTTAAATTAAAAATTTTATCACAAGACAATAATTCCGAACGTGCTCTAAAGAGCGTTTGGGAACACACTTATTTGATATTGCCTAACTTTAATACAAAATTTGAACGCTATTGAATTTATATGAACTAATCTACGACAAACCCTTTTTTCCAATTTTTGACATAATCAATCTCAAAAGTACAAACCCTGGTGGAACGGACTGTATGTGTTTATTAGTATGAAATAGGTAAAAAATAGCTATTTACCTAACAAGTGCGGAAAATGCTTTTTTCCGCACGCGGCTGCCGAAGCACCGAAAACACCAAGGAAATAAACCAATAAAATTATTAGAAAAAAATTCTTTAGTTTCGCAAATAACCATGTCACTGGTGCTGTCGTTCAGACTCTAACCAATAGAATCATACCTTTGAATAATCACGCCTCTCCACATCCATCATTTCGCAATGTTGCCGGATTTTTTTCTATTTCAAAATACTACACATGCCCATATTGCAAAAAAATATATGTCACCAACTTGTTTATGATTGTTTCTGTCAAGTTTGGCAAAGCAGCAAATTCTATTGCAGTTCGACATTTGGCTAGCCAGACAATACAGGGTTATTCACTATATTATTACGGTGCACTTTCGCGAGGGTATACAGAATCCATGCCTAAAATTCCAGAAAATACTGCTTTGTTCAAGAAAAGGGATTATCGGGGATAATACCACGAGAGCTTCAAAATTACCGATAATTTTTCACGATTGCGTGTTTTCTATAATTTCACGAGTCCGTAGGACGAGTGAAAATTGCAGAGAAAACACGCATGAGTGAAAAATTATCTGGTTCATTTTAAAGCTCAAGTGGTATTTAGAGGATTATTTCACGTATGAGAATGCAAAAAATATGGAAATAAATATGTATTAAACGATTTGAACATCTTAACAATCAATACAAATAAATGGTTGCTATCAGGAACCGTTTGTTTGTATCAAAAATTAGGATGACAACCATGTATACAATAACATGGGAGAATTATCGCTGTAATTCTCTCTAGTTAAACAAATGGAAAAGATAATTTTCACTGTAATTCTGAAAATCGTCACTTGTCTTATGGGATTTCTAACACATGAGTGGAATAATCGGGTTTATTCTTGATTTTACAAGAATGGATTACAGATATACAGGGTAGAATTTTCAAATGGAATAAATTCAGTATCAGAAAGAAAGCCTGTTCATTTTCTGGAAAAAAAAAAAAAAAACGGGTCCCTTTATTTTTAGTTTGGCACATTTTTTCGGCCTTTTCATGGAATTTACCCCATTATTTACTTTTGCATTTCGGAGATCTAGGAAGCGAGAAAAAAATTAAAATATATTTTTTCTACAACTGTCAAAAAATGATGATGTTCGCACACTCATGACAGTTTGCGAAGTGACACTTTTTTTCCCAGGTATTGATTTTTCAACGTTCCCATGACGCCGTGCGCGAACTAGCTATTTCGCACACTAGTGCGCGAAATAGCTAGTTCGCACACTGGTGTCATGGTGACACATACCTGTCAGGAAACCAAAAATTATTAAAATTCACCTACCTTTGATTGAGAATGAAATTTTGGCTTCGAATGATCGATATTTAAATGGAGTTGTAGAAAAAATATTGTTTGCAACTCGGGCGCGAAATACTTTGGTGATCTCGACTATTTATCAGATCGCGATCACCAAAGTAGCATTTCGCGCACTAGATACAAAAATAACTATTTTCACACAATTTTTTTAGAGTTAAAATTGTTGAATATCTTCAGCATTTTTTCTTGGTAGAACCCCTGATGCGAAACAAGCCCCATTTGTGACGTTATGTAATTATTTCTGACGTTAACACACTATTTGATGCCTGATACTAGGATTCTCAACCCTAAAATAATGCTTTAATGTCAATAATAATTGCATAACTAGATCACCGAAATGCAAAAGTAAATAATGGGTCATATTCCTTTTTTTATGCCCATTCGAACGAGCCATCACAATACATATCTTTACATTTGAAAAAAAAAAGTTGGGGGTGGTTTCTACCCCTAAGAGAGGGGTAAATTCCATAAAAAGGCCGAAAAAATTTGCCAAACTAAAAATAAAGAGACCCGTTTTTTTTTATTTTTCTAGAAAATAAACAGGCTTTCTGATACTAATTTTATTCCATTTAAAAATTCCACCCTGTATAAAGGACGGTATTAGTTAGAAGTTTTCAAGTTCAAGATTGACTATAATACGTTTTAGATTCTAAAACGTATCTTAGATAGTGATTATTTTTGTAAAAAGTTAAGTTGTTTGAGTTAATTGAAGTAATTATAGTGTCAAAGTGTATAGTAACATGGAATAAATTTTTGTTGTGTTAATTGGACTTTGATTTGGAATAAACGAACCCAAGATTTCTGTCACGCACCCCAGAGTCGTGACAATATTTTGACCCCCCCCACCTGCAACCTTTACCTTTACAGATGAAATGTAAATACAAAAGTTGTGCAGTTTTAGCTAAATTTTTAGAATCCATCGTCAGAAACAAAAAATTATTGTCATAAATTTGAAATCTTGCGTACTTTCAACTTTTTTCAAATGAAATGCCCTATATTTGATTCTATTTGGCTCCAAAAAATATAAAAATACTATCAGAGGAACCAGTGCCTCAAATTTTACCTGCAGCTTCCACCTTTACAGGTAGAATGGTTCACAAAATCTAACTCAATATTTTTATAATTTTTGGAGCCAAATATGTTGAAGACGGCTCAATTAAATATAGACAAACTATATATGTATTTCTGTAGTCGGGAAATTGTGCTCTTCAAGAATATAGAATCAAATAAAGAGCATTCCATTTGAAAAAAGTTGAAAGTACGGAAAATTTCAAATTTCTGACAATAATGTTTTCTTTCTGACGATGGATTTTAAAAATTTAGCTAAAACTGCACAACTTTTGCGTTTACACCTATCATCTACCTGTAAAGGTAAAGGCTGCAGGTGGGGGTGATAATATAGTGAATAACCTAAGGCATTTTTCACACTAAATGGTTGACTCCTTACCTGGACGTTTTGAAAGAGCTCGGCCATGAACACAATGGGTAGTTTTATTGCAGTCATTAACTCGATACCAATTATTGTGAAAAATACTAGCAATAAACAACCTTGAAAATTCACATCCCATCAACTATTGTCTACTTACTAAAATATGTACTAATATAATAAATGTCCAAAAAGTTTACTTACTTTGAAACTGTTCCGATAATTCAGTTAGTACAATATCCTTCAAGGTCCCATTCTTTGGCACATCTTTCATTTCGAATGGACTAATCATGGTAACCTCATGACCAGCGTTAAGTAGACCCTTAACCAATTTTGAACCCAATATGTAATGGCTCATGCCTGGAGAAAAGAAAACAGTCAAAATTCTTAAACATTGTGAAGAGTTTATTAATATCGCAGCAAAAACTAGGAAAGTTAAATTCAGTTGCATCGTTTTATGTCGACTAATAATAGACATGGAAACAAAATGAAACGATCAACGAATTTCTGTTGATTGCTCTATAATTATTTACTTATGTTATTATCTAAATAGTCAGATAGCTAGTCGAAATCAAATGACGCCACATGTTGGGCGATGTTGCAGGTTGCAGTCACATCTATTATTAAAAAAAATTTCCTTCAATTTTATTGAATACTAAAATATGAATAAATATTTTTATCAATTAAATATTTGTTTAAGATAAAATAAAAGTGATTTATTGACATTTTAGGACTTTATAGCATTAAATCAAAGTGAATTTCGCGACCCACCAACGGCTGCTAAATAAATCTTCACATTACTATCAGGCAAAAATACCATTAGATAAATACAGGGTGTCAAGAATGGTTTGTTACAAACATCTGTCTGGAAATGCTTCGCGTTCCAGATACAGGAAGTTAGACTTTGTAAAAAAAATCCAATTTTTTAAATAATTCTCAGAAATGCGTTGGACCACAGCCTCCTATAGTTAACAAGCCATGAAATTGGAAATGACGGCAACGTCGTGTATGGTGCTATTTTGTTATTGGGTTATGTGTTTCTGTGTATTGCTTTCATTGTGTATTGTTGCAATTTAGTATTTTTATGGGCATTATTGACGAAAAAGTGGATAGAAACACACCAATATATTGCCCATATTTAGTTGATACCTGTTCCTTTGTGCTTTGATTGCAAATTTTTAGCAAATGGGTACAGGAGCAAAAATGAAGGTAAGGTAAGGTAAAACAATAAAAACAATATTAATATTTGTCTGCAAGAGCATAGGTCTCGATATATTACCTAAGATATTTAAACTTGTTCCAGATGCCATGAAACTACTGTGTTCCTGGGTGCAAATCGAACTATTAGGAGTTCCTTAAAAACTGAAGAAATGCAAACATTTTTATTTCCAAAAAAATTCTGAAGTGCAAAAAATGTGGATGAAAGCAATACACCAAGATAATTATACCCGAGATTATACAATAACGAAAAATTCTGTGGTGTGTTGTAAACATTTTGAAGAAACCGAAATAATTAGATTTGAAACAAACAAAGATAAAGGCGTAGTTCGAGAGTTCAAACTAAAACGTCCAACTCTTAAAAGTAGGTACCTCTTATTTTCGAAAATCAGCTCAAGTATTTGAATGGACCTGCCTTCCGAAAAAATCCCGAAGAAAGAAAAAGTTAGATTTTCAAAAGACATACTGAAACATAGGCCTATAACACTTTAGACTCTAGAAATATATTCATTTAAATCAATTATTTACTGTTCTTATTTACACAAATAGTTAAATTATTCATTGAATTACTGCTTTTGGCCCTTTAGTACAATAAATTATGTATTTTTTGTGATTCATATTAATAAAATAAAATATATATATTTATACAAACAAACACCACCAGCACCACTTGGCGGTAAGATTGCGGTGTTGCCTTTTTAACTTCATGGCTTGTTAAATGTAGGGGGCTGTGGTTGGACGAATTTAATGAAATTTTCATAGTTTGTTGACACCTTTATGGGGTATCTTTTGGACTGCTCAGAGTTGATCCAGTAATTTCAGGGGCGTGCCACAGGTTATGTCGGATGGCTGTTCGCACGAAAAACATTGTCCAGTTGATTAAAACACTTAAAAATTCATTTTTTTCTAAAACGCACGCATTTCTAAGAAAAATTATATTTACAAAGTTTAACACCCTGTATCTGGAAAGTGAAGCATTTCTGGACATATGTTTATTAAAAAAAAAGCTTAATTATTACGAGATCTACCATGCCTAGAAGTTTGTAACAAACCTTTCGTGACACCCTGTACAGGGTGCTGCAATTTGGAGTGTTTTAACAGGAAAAACACACTTCCAGACCAGATAGACGAAAATTGACTTAGATGTCATGGGATTGATTTTCGAGAAACGTCGAATATCAAAAACTGCATCGCGATATCTTCAATGGTACCATTAATACAGGGCGATTTTAGATTTTCCCCTATTATGAAAAATGGCTATAAGTTTTTTATTTGTCAATTTTTTTTATTTCTGTAAAAACATTATGGAGACACTTTTTTGAGCACAATCCAGTGGCGGACTCAGTTTTTTTCTATATTGTTCCGATTTCGAAATATCGACCAAACTCCGATATTTTCAAATGAAACACCCTATATATTAATAGCTCATTGGATAGCTCTGTTTTTACTGATTTCAATGATATAAACTTCGTTAGGTTTTTCTCTAAGAGTTTTCGAGAAAAAAAAACATGTCATATTTCTGAATTTGACAGCTGACACGTCGTCTGTTTCTGTTTAGGTACACTTTTTTCCCCGCACTTCCGCCCATACCACACCGTTTCTTATTTTTGGTTATTTAAGGCGATTGCTTAAGGCCATGTTGATATTATTTCTTAGTGAGCATCTCCAACCTATTACCTACCTGTTTGCAAAATTTCATCTCGATTGGTTTAGTAGTTTTCGAGATTTCGTGTTTAATCAGTCAGCCAGTCAGTCAGTGAGTGAGTGAATTTCACGTTTATATATATATATATAGATTAACGATATAACATCACATTTGTTGGATAAAAATCACTTGGCTTTGAAGGGAGGGGGGCGACGCCCCCCAAAAATATACAGGGTCGTCACATGGCGTCACATACTGGGGAGGGTGAGGGTTAAAACATCCCTATTTTTTTTTACTCGTCAGGTTTTTGCGATTCTGATTAAAAATTCAGAAAGTTTACAGTTTTTTACACAGAAAAGGTACTCTTGGTTCAATTCGATACAGCGTACCATTTACGAGAAAATTGACTTTGAAAATTTTCTGATTTGCGTATGTTTCGCAAAAACCTGACGAGTAAAAAAAAATGGGCATGTTTTCACCCTCCCCAGTATGTGACACTGATGAAGATTTTTGAATTTTCAATTTAGTATCTCAATTGCCATCAAATGTTTATGAAATACACCAATTTTCAAAATCCATTTGTGAAGGGTTTCAAAGTTATACAGAAAAACACGTCTTTCAGGTGTCCTATTCGAAGGGGCGTAGCTGGGAAGCATTTCCGGACCCATGTTAATAGGAACTTTTTGTCTTATTTTTATGCAAGGAATATACCCCCGAAAGGATGCCGCTTACTTTTGAATCACCCAGTGCCCAGTTAACTGACTGGGGACTGGGATTGGGATTGGGAACTGGGATGTCCGACGGACATGGAAAAATCTGGAAGAGGCCTTTATCCAGCAATGGACGAGTACAGGCTGACGAAGAAGAAGAAGAAGAAGTGGCTCCTTTATCCATAGGCGTATCCAGGGGGGGGGGGCTGCCGGGCTGCAGCCCCCCCCAACACAAGTCTATACTATTTTTTTCCAGCGTATTTTATGTAACTTATGTACAATTTTTGTGAAAAAAAAAACGGAAATAGAATTTATTTCTCTCCATAATAAGGTTTTTCTATGACTACAGTGGCTTGCCTTTTATATACTCAAACGCACGCGCTCGCGTTCAAGTTCCCGCTGAGTTCGCGCTGGGAGATGAGCAATTTTTAGGTTCGCTCTGGGAGATGAGCAATTTTTAGGTTGGCAAGTTCGCACTCGCATTGGAGCGTCTATCCAATGAAAACAAGTATCCTCTGCAGTGGAATTCTATAACGAATAGATATTTTCGCTTTCTCTACTGACGTCTTCTCTCTATTGATTTTGAAAAGAAAGAAGAAGATACAAGTACCATAGCGATAGAGATAAAGATTTCTATCCGTTACAGAATCCCGCCTCAGGTCATTTGAACACGCATGTGCAACAACCAAATTTATTATTTCTTCTATCTATTTACCTGGCCTACCTGGGTAGGATAATTTACAATTAATTTGTTTTTACTTTTATCCCATTTTGACGTTTAAAAATGAAATTATTGAACGCATAACAATAAAGGTAAGTAGACGTTTATCACATCAGTGATTTAATAGATATATACGATACAAGTGAGTTAACAGCATCATTAAGATAAAAGATACGCGTGTGGAAGTTGCACAACGAGTGCGTAGCACGAGTTGTGTAACCACACAAGTATCTGAATGAGGGTTAACTCACGTGTATTGTACAATATTTTATCTACGCCATACGCTCTTAACTTTAAAAACACAAAAAAATAATAATTTCAATAATAATTGTATTACCTTTTGTAAAAACCAGCTACCTGAATCACCTCAATACCTTTTGTTCAAATAACAATATAAACTTGACCAAATTACCATGAAAATACGATAACACCATGCATGGTCTCATATCAATTTGATAGTAAATAATATTGATGTAGTGATAGTTTCTAAAACCTAGGAAAGAGTGCGGTAATGAAAATGCGTAAGTTAAGAGCCTCTTAACTCACTGGGTGCGGTAATGAAAATGCGTGAGTTAAGAAGCTTTTAACTCACTCGAAATGCGTGAGTTAAGAGCTTCTTAACTCACTGGCGTAGATAAAAACATTTTAACTCACTCTCGGCATTTCAAGTCACTCTGCCCAACTAAAAGTCTGAAACCTCAGTGATTTAAAATATTTTTAACTCACTCCCGGCATTTTTCTTTGTACCTTATTTTACAAATTTCCACAAAATCGGATAAAATTTTGTATTCATCACGAGAGTTAAAATGTTTATTCATTCGAAGAAAATTAACCCACTCGCTACGGCTCGTGGGTTAAACTTTCTTCTCATGAATAAACATTCATTTAACTCACTTGGTGTATAAATGACTAATATCTGTATTTACTTAATTTAAAGCCATTTTTATTTGATTTTGGTAGGTATTGACCTGTGTTTCTAGTGTGTAGTTCCCATTGTAGAAGATTTTTGTGCAAATACGCGGGCCAATCAGATCCACAACACAACGACAAACAAAAGTCAAAAACTTTATAAATTCGGCTATAATCAACATGTTAATTTCGCGGCCAAATGCGAATATTTTTGTCGCCTCGCAAAAAAGAAAGGTCTGTAACGTTTGGATATGTT